ACGAGAGTCATGTCCTTCCAGTGAACCTGAGAAAATAAACTTAACTTGTGTTTTACAAAGAAACAAAACACACATTGTAACTACAGGCAGCTGGCAGCACCATTAGTCTGGTGAACGTAGGTTCACTCTTTAGGATTTGTGTAGCTATCAGAGATCTGACAACCCCTTCTTACAAACATATTTCTGCCTTGTTAGTTTATTCTTTTCTAAACTTGAGCCAAACCTAAGGCTCTTGGTCAGAAATCCTACTTAATTTTTTTTTTTTTTTCCCTAGATGGAGTCTAAGTTAGTTGCAGGATGTGACACAGTTTAACCACAAAGAATTTTGAAGGAATTGTCTGATTCAATATCAGCTCTGAAATCACAGAACTGTATCCTGTGTTCCTGCTAGGTTCGATGACTACAGCGCACCCCACCCTCGTTCATGTGTGGTTAGGAAACCTGTTGGTTATTGGCACTGTAGGACATTTTTATAGATGGTAACACTGCCCTGAGGTCCCTATATAAAACCACAATGACTAGTCCCTAAAACTACTGCCATTTTGTCTTTTATCTAGCTATGAAGCACATATGCTCGCAACTGGGTTTGAGTTTGAAAATGAAATGCCCTGTGCTACATTCTCACAGTTCTAGGTATTTTAGGTAATTTCTGACCAACATACTCTAGAGACTGTAAATTTAATGCATGCTAGTTATCTGATAACAATAAAGCTGTCTTACAATTAGAAGCACTTCTCCTAATCAGATGAGCATGAAAATCTAAAAAGCCGATTTTACAATTCTCTTATTGACGTCACGATAGCAAGGATAATTATTATGACTGCTTCTTAACGTTCCATCTGCATCAATGTTTTAAAATTGAAGACTCTTTGTACTACGAGCTTACAAAGACAAGAATAATTTTATTTCATTAATCCTTAATACCTGGCCACATAAAGATTTCCTCATACTGCTTATCATGCTTTTTACTGTAGAAAGAAGTATTCAAGTTTGATATACTTACACAATACCTATGGGCACCGCTATCACCTTCTATAATCTGAATTGAAGGTTATTTGGTTAACCAGTAGATGACTATATAGTTAACCAGCACAGTCTTCATGTAATGGAAATAATACCTGTCCTTCCCTATTTCAGAAATTTTCTGGAGTTTGTAAGTCTGGTTTACGTAGAGTGTCATCCTGCGATTTCTTCACTGTAAATCTACGAATTTAAAATAAATCCTTAACATTTAAGCTTCATACACTAAAGTGCTCAAAGGTTTATAAGTTCTTCTGCAATTTTAATATTTTTGAATAATGCTTAGATTTACATAATATAAGCTATTTTATTTCCAAGAGATATAATTGGAATTCTTGTAAATTTACTTTGAATTCTTCTAACTAAGATATAATATAAAATATAATCAAAGATATATATAAAAATAAAGCTGGGCAAAGATCATCTGCTAAAGGGAAAAAAAAAAAAAAAAAAAAGCCCTCTGCTGGCAGCAATATAGAAAACAGTTTTTTGAAGGCAGTATTCACCCTGTCTTTAACATCCTCATGGTTGAGTTGACTAGAAAAGCCACAATAGGAAAAAAAAAAAAAGAGGGGGAGGGGGAAAGTAGTGACAAAAAACCACCCCAGATGTTGCATAAACATGACTTACCTCAAGTTCAGTGTTTAAATATTTATCTTTCCAATAATCCCCAAGCAAAGTTCATTTAACCACTCTAGTTCCATGTAATTTATTTGTGGAATATGCATCAGACTAAATCTAATTTTGCTCTGCTTACTTTGGAGAAAGAAAATTAAAAGTGAAATAATGAAGGTGGCCTTTTATTCATTTTTTCTTTCCCAGAAACAGGCAGGAAGAGTCCTAAGTGAATAAACAAGCAGAAGATGTACTTTCTCTGGTCTGTTTGGTTTTAAGAAAACACAACCTCAAGATGAAGCCAGGGCTCAGCCACACGGAAGCTCTCGGTCACCAGCAGGGTAGCCCGACATATTCTAATGTCTTCCAACATCTCCTAATTAAGAGATGCAGAAACATCGCACTCCGCAGCTGTTATTCTCAACACACACAAAGAACAATTCGGAGATGTCGAGCCAGATTTGCCACTGCCTCGTACCTTGACAGAAAAAAACTAACTGTAAAATTCTATCTGTACACAGTCATGTTTTAGATCCCCTTTACGCAAGTGGCAAGCCAAAAGAGAATGCGATACACTTCGTATTATCTTTTTAGAAATAGGAGTATTAAAGAAATCGAAAAGCTCAAGTGGGTAAAAAGAGTAAAGATTTCATTTGATTAGTGTGCCAGGTAACCAGAGAGTCAAATGCACCTTAATTGTGATTTCTTCATTCAAAACAGAGGGTTAAAATAGCTTATAAACTAAATAAGTGCAATAAAGGTTGGTCCCAGGGAAATGCTGGGCCACTTCAATTCCCACTCAAATTAATGGGAGTCGAAGCAAAATTGGGTATTCTTGTACACCGTGCCTTCAATTGCTACCAACAGCACCTCCCAAGACTGGATCTTAAGGAAGTTCTCTTGGTACTCACTGAAATCAATGCAAGTTTTGACATGATCTTAGTGGATAAAGTGACACTATCAAGTAAATCTGACCCAGGAAATCAATCTCAAATAACGTTGTCCCCACAACTGTTTTGCAGTTAAAAAAGAATAGTTATCTAAGTCAACACAAAGTGATCTGATGGTAGAAAATGCTTCTATTTTCAATACCTGTACAGCGTGAAAGCAAAGCTTGTCACTAACAAGAAAAACGTTAAGTATAATGGAAGTGAATCAAAAAGAGCAGTTCCTACAGATCTCTAGTAGAAATTCTGGAGAAGACAAAATCTTTGCAGAGACAAATTCTATTTTGATTCTGGCATGTCAGTGTTTCATTCAATTCCTAACATTCTGCCAAATTTTTAACAAACTGCTGCTTCTAAAATCAAGTAACAATTTGCACCTTATAAATATATTACCCAAATTGCTGTGACTAGAAAGTGTACGGGGTTTTTGTTTACTGTAGTAGTTAGGAAGTAACAGCTATAAATACCCTCCCTTTCGAAGCAGGCTGTAGTACATACAGAGGCACTGGAATTTAAAATCCATGAAAGCTCATCTATTTTGTGAAATACTAATCTAACTTCGTATTTTCTACATGATTGTACAGTTTTTGTACAGGAGGTGTACTGTGACTATATCAGGTAAACTGAGAGTAGTTTTCAGGAAAAATGAATGCAATGCCAAGTGAGAACTAGGGAGAAAAGAACTCTAGCAAAGCATCAAGAAGGCAACAGATAAACTCTTACCTTGGAGAATCCTACCTGCTGTCATTCTAAAATGAGATTTGTTTGCCACAAGGGAGAGAAAATAAGATCAGTATAGATAAAAAACTTATACTCTGTAGACTGCCAGAAGCTAGTGTACAGAGCAAGCCGTCCAACCAAAAGACTCTGTGCAGATTCAAACTGCTTCACAACTAGAAGGAACAGCAAGGTGTCTGTTGCATACCCCATTATCGTTAAAGAGCCTCTGAAAAAGTTGTATGTACAATCCCTATGCAACAGTTCACTGCTCCTTGACATTACTTCAAGTATCAGACTCAAGCCTGCATGGGAAATACTCATGATCGGTACCCAGGAATCTCTAAACTGAATGCACAGTGCTGCCTCTTATGAAAAATGAAATACAGAAGAGACAGCAGTGCCAGGAGATAACGCATGGGTACAGGTCAGAGGAAGGTAGTGCTGTTGGTGGATTATCCTGCGATGCTGCGAAAGGCTGACAGGGGAGAGGAGAGGGCAGATACAGTGGGGAAGGGTGGGAAAGTAGCACGGAGCAGAGGTGATGGGGCAGCGCCGCCTCTCCCCATGTCAGCTCTAAGGGTGATGCACCTTACTTATCACCTTTCACCCCCAGTAACTCCTGGGGAAGAGATGAAAATGTCATAAAGTCAGTATGAGTTTGCTCTGGTGTTCAGGGGAACCAGTACTTCACTCCATGGGACTCTGCTTGTATGGCATCCAACAGAAGGAGACCAAGTGTTTTTAATACGGGTCTCTGGGGGCTGTTAGAAGAGAAAGAAACAATGATGGTAATTAATGACCTGAATGCTGTTGATAGATTCTTCGTAGTAAAAACTAACAAGGATTGTGACAACCCACAGTACAAAAAACCCCTCCAGAATTAGAAGTCCTGTGCAAAATTAGAATTCCCATTGGGAAGAAGCTGATCATAAATTGGGCTGTAGTCACGCTTCCTGCCTTGTTTTGATATTGTACACATCCACAAACACAGCGAAATATCCCCAATCCTCTTCATTTTCTTGCATTTTACCAGAAAACAGAAATTAGTTGTTCAACGCAAGACTTACTTAGCTAGTCAGAAATGAGAAAGTGTCCAGTATTTTTTCTATTGTGTCAATGATGAATTGAAGGAATCAATGACTATGCCTTGATAAATGAACTTCGCTGTTTCTGATTAGCAAGTGTTGGCTGTATCAGAATATAACCAGGGGGCCGGCACTATTTCATCCTGCTACCCTTCATCCTTCACTGGTGTTATGACATAATTTGCTATGATATCATGGCTTACTTATCAAACTAAAGGAAAACTGACATCATAACATACAGCATAGTGAAAGAAGCCCTGTACTGTTAGTCCATTTATACACACAGTAAAAAGACTGTTCCTATTGTTCAGTCTGCTTATATTTATAAGACATTTTTCTCTATAATTTCTCTACTATTATTTAAGATACAAGATCGTTTTGCTTAAAAGTCAAGGAAAATTTCTATGCCTTTTGGGAATAATCTTTCCATTTTACAAGTTTAAGATCTAACTGTAATAGAGAATGGGTGCTGAGCTTAGGGCTTCTTTTAAAGTCTCTGAAAGTAATTTTCCTAATGCAATGAAAAATACTAACAATACAGAATATAAAAAAGGGCAACGCAGCTTCAAGTGAAGACCTAATGCTTGCTGATACTGTCCAGCAGTAACAGGTACTCAACGCTGTACTGGTATCAGTAGAAGCTACAGACAATATTTGTCTCCTCTGATGATACAGACTAAAAATGCCTTTTCTTGCATTTGTGAGAGCATGTTCCTGAGTATAGAGATTTCCAGACTTATTAAAATCCATTTCAAATGCTCTGATGTAAATATGTCTTTGTCTGAACGCTGATAGTAATTTGACCACAGTTACTGTTTCAGAATGAAGATTGATCAGAAAATGGAAGTTTCAAAATAGGTTTCAAAAATTGTTGGCCTTTTACATTTTAATGATAAGACTGTATCAATGTTGTCATGCAGAAATGAGAGATACACCTACCAAAAACCTGCTCGTTAGTCAGACTCGCGTGGGAAGCAGAACAGCCAGCTTCAAGCGCTGGCTTTGAACGAGTGAGTCCGGGTACCCCAGGACCCACTGGTGTACCTATCTGCCTTGCCTGCTCTTGCTGTGACCCGCTGTTTCACGCTGGGGTTGAGAAACCTTCTAGCCACAAGTTTCACTAAAACCCAGAGTACCGCTGAAAGGCCGTGTTGCGTAGAGCGCGTTCCAAGCCCATCCCTTCTGACGCCGACCGGGTGTAGCGACCTACGGGAAATATATTCACTGAGAACCTCTTTTATGGCCATTTGCTCCTCTCAGTGTAATCATGCTTTAAATATTCTACCTATGTACAGATGGCTTTGAAAGACTCTTAAAAATCCAGCAGGATTATGTCAAGGGTAGCTGCAGGCAATACTATGTAAGATCGTAATTAAAATGTGGTTTTATGGCATTTGCACAATTACCATATGAAATTTAGTTTTAGCACTTTTATGTTTCTACACATTCAGTTGAATGCATTTAATTCTCAATTATATCTACAAGATAGTTGTGAATTAAAAAATTTGTCACAAAATTATTTTTAAATTGTGTTTTGAGCATAGTATTTTTAGTTTGATTGTACTAGATAGAAAAGTCTTTAGGACATGCAGAGCGTAGTAGGTTGATAAGTTGTTCTGGACAACCTTGGGCAAAATGTGTCTTAGTTAACCATCTAATAGTTACACCTGCATGCTCAGTGCTAGAGAAAGCTTGACCAGTGTATTTCTTTATTATTTGATTACTGTTTCAGTAAAATTCAAAGTGGTCTATTGAGATCATCTATAGCAGCAGACATGCGATGTCATCTGGAAGCCAATCAATGGCTCTCAATTAATTCCTTCATCACTTTCCTGTCTTACTGTCCTACGTGAGACTTGAAAATCAGTAGTCCTAGCACTACTGACCACACAGACCATTAAATACCTGCTTGGGGGTTGTTTTTTTGTTTTGTTTTGGGTTTTTTTTGTTTGTTTGTTTTTGTTTTGGTTTTTTTTGTTGTTGTTTTTTTTTTTGTGGCCTTCTTGTAGCTTGAACTTCCTGTGTAAGGTTTCAGCAGCTTTTTTATCTTTCCACTTACATGAAAAGCTTCCTGAAAAAAGTAAGTTTCCTCTAGGTAAGAACAGAGATGTTAACAGGTCTAAATTGTTTTCAGGTGTTAGCCCAGGACTTGGATCCGACCTTATGACTTGAAGCCAAAACTTCAGATGGGAAAAATTAAAAATCAAAGTATGGCTGCTTAAACTAAATCAGGACATAGTGTACAACATTCCTGGCTCAGTTCTGAATATGGACCAAAAATTTAAAAATGAGACGTAATTCTAATATTTCAGAATATTTCTGCTTTTTTTTTTTTTTTAACAGATGGAGAGTGTCTCTGGGGGATCATGGGAGGAAAAAAAAAAAAAGAAGAATCAGAGCACTAATTGTTGTAAAAGTGACCTCTTACTGTTCAAAAATAAAATAAATCTGCTGCTGTGAAATGTGTACACATCAGTATAAAATAATAATCTACTTTGTGTACATCTAAATCTCAGCTTCAACAAAATGAATTCCCATGAGTCTGGATTGAAATGGTTCAAATTACGTTAATGAATTTTCGATTCCTCAGCTTGACGTGTGAAGTGACAAAATATGCAATCCGTTAACCAGTTCTGCCCTGCGTGTCAATCTATGGATGCATTTTATTACTCTCTAATCAAACCTTACGCTGTTCTCTCAGGAAACCACTTCTTTATAAAGAGAGGGTGTAGGCATGTTACACATATCCAGATTGTTACAGCAACAAAAGAGCTGAAGTTGAAAAAGATTTCTGAACTCTTGCATTTCTGTCTGTGTTCCATGTATAACATGAGCCAGAAAATACAGAGAAAGATCTGTGTTGATTAGGACTTACATTAATACGGAATGCAGAGAAAGAGCCGTGCCTCCAACACACACCACTGGTATATTTTTCCTTGTTATTTTAAATTAAATCTGTGATGAAGTAATTAAAAAATGCCTTTTATTGCAGCTTTCATTTTTAATTCATTATTCCTTGCAACTACCAATTGTTCTAGGCTCACAAATAGAGCATTGAAACATTTCCTTTTCATGAATGAAGTTCTGTCCAGCCTGCAAACAGGGACGTCATTTCAAGAAAATGCACAGAAGTGCAGGGGAAGATCAGGGACTGCAAATGAAAACAGAGCTTGAAAAAGGACAGCTTTGTTTACTTGACCAAAACAGAGAAGGTAGCAGAACTAGGTTTTAAATTCAAACTGGAAGGAGATTTACTAGAGAAAGAGAAAAATCTTTCTTCCGCTAAGTTCATAAAATCAGCTCTGGCTACTCGTAAAAGATGTTTTTGTAAAGGCTTTTCATTATTAATAGCCCTACTAACTCCTGACAACAACCCTGCAGCGCTTACTAAGGTAACCTCTCTTCTGCTACAATAACTTTCACCAATGATGTGCTTTTTCCTTCGGGAAGGCGGAGTTAGGACTTAGTGTCAGGGCCATAAATACGAGGGTCCCATGTCAGGGCAGCGAGGAGTCAGCGAGGGCGGGCGGCCCCCGAGCGTCGGAGGGCTGCGCGGAGCTCTGGGCACCGCGCTCTGGGCACCGCGGGGCGCTCCGCGGGCGCGCAGGCAGCTCGGCCGTCCAGCCAGCGCAGGGCAGCGGTGCCCCCCGGCCGCTCCGCCGCCATGAGCCCGGCTCCCCGCGCCCTGCTGCTCTCCGCGCTCCTGCTCCTGGCGCGCAGCCCCGCGGAGCGGGCGGAGGCGTGCAGCTGCGCGCCCGCTCACCCCCAGCAGCTCCTCTGCGACGCGGCCCTGGGTGAGTCCGTCCGCTCCGCGCGTTCGCCCCGGCCGGCAGGGCAAGGCAGGGCAGGACAGACGGACAGCGGACAGGCAGCCGGGCGGCAGGGCAGGACAGACGGACAGGAGGCCGGGCGGCAGGACAGGACAGACAGACAGCGGACAGGCAGCCGGGCGGCAGGACAGGGCAGGGCAGGACAGACAGGCAGACCGCCGTTCGGCAGGACAGCCAGCCAGCCAGCCGGGCGGCAGGACAGACAGACAACCAGCCAGGCAGCAGGACAGCCAGCCGAGCTGCATTCGCTGCTAGGATTGATTTTTTTTTTTTTTTTTTTTTTTAAATTTTCCCCCTAGAGCTGCAGAGGAATGTGTTTAACCAGGTGGCTTAGTCTCTCCAAGGATTTTAAAACAAAATGAGCACAGGGATCCCATGTAAAGAGAGAGCTATGGGGGGGGAATGGTAGGAGCTAGTCTGCTTTTCTTGGTTTTCCAGATAAGTTTGTAGTTACAAACTGTTGAAATGACTGTATTATTTAGTAGCTTTTTTTTTTTTTTTTTTTTTCCCCCTTAATAGGAACAGCCTCTCTATTAGGTCCTAACTTACAGTAAGCAGGGAAGAATACCTGAACTTCCAAATGGCTCTTGTTAACAGTATCTCTAATAGAATACAAATGGCTACCATCTCTAATAGAATATTCTATCCAGATATGTCTGCTTATGTGTAAACTATGCATATAGGTATATTTTATAGCACTTTTGGGAGAAAAAAAAAAGAAACCCATCCCATCCCCTCCCCCCCTCTTCCCCCCCCCCCCCCCCCCCCCCCCCAAGTCCCCAGTGATAACATATTGAAAGACTTGCTTGTTGTTCTGCTATACTACAATTTCTTTAACTGGTTGTTGGGCTTTTTGTCATTTTCGAAAAATACTTGAGCAGGAAACCCATAGACCCTTTATTTTCTGCAGATACACTGGCTACAGCAGTTCTGTATAAATACAACTTTCCAGTCTTCAGGACAATTGTGTTTCACGATACTCAATCAGCACCGTAGTTGTCAAACAACTTATAGAAAGAAACTAGAGATCTCAAAATTAGACTGCATGGGGATGAGAAAATGTGACATTTTGCAGTCTTTTGATTTCATTAGCTCAAGCTAAGGCTGGTTAGCTTCCATCTAGTGTGAACAGTAAATGTAGAACATGAGTTTCCAAAGTGTCACAAAATTAGCATCTCTATGGGGCAGGCAATACCTTCTGCATACTGATTAATTGCTTTTATACCCTGACAGAAAATCTTTGTAGCCATGACAAACTCTAAGCTCTGTTTGTGGCCATCAGTTAAATTGTTTTTTAATCTGCTTGTGTTAAGCAATGTTTTTCATTAAGTTACCTACACCAGGCATTACAAACTTGGGCTTGGTTAAGGTGTGAAAGAAAATAGAAGTTGTGCTACCAGGAGCTTAACCATGTATGTATACATTTAACTCTATTAGACTGCTGCATTCCTGTACCTAAGAAAATGGCAATTTTTCAACAGACCTAATATAGAGATTTTTCTAAATAAACAATTTCACAGTATAGAGGAAACTCAAAATACTCATTGTGATTATTTTCATTGGGGAAGCCATTCTGGCCCTTCTTATATATTTAGATACATTTCACTCTTAAATACGTGTTACAAATTATAGTTATATGCTGCTTTTTATTTATATTTAAGTACTGAAGACTGTAAAATAAAACTACTTTATATTTGGACTTGATGCTCAAGCTCTCACGTCTATAAGTATTTCTATTTAAGTAAACTGCACCTTTTGGCCAAGGAACGTTTATATCAAGGATCCCTTTATTTAATATTTATCATTTTAAAATAGCATTTCTATATATTGTAAAATGATAGAGATACGTAGCTATTCCTTCATGTATGTGTGTATACGTATTTTTATATATTCCTTTGCATGTATGTACACATAAAACACATTCTAAGCGTTTATGCATTAATTATTTGATTGCTTTGGCCACAGTGTTTTGCATAAGCAGAGCAAAATTAAAGGAGCTGGAGAAGGCCCTGGAGCTGTCTGCCCTGCGTAGGAGAAAACTCCAGCAGGCAGAGGCAGCTCCTCCACCCCTGCTGCCAGAGAGCTGGTCCCCCCGGGGCCGGGCGGCGGTGGCGGGGTGCCCTGGGGAGGGGGCCGGGGCGCAGCCAGGGCTCTGCCCCCCGCCCAGCCACGGCCTATCCCGTGCACTAGCCTGCCTCAGACTTCTCCTGTTAACAGCACCCTACTTAAGTATTCCATATATCTTCTTTAAAAATAGATTGAAGATTAAATTGAAGAGCTGTACTTCAATTTCCACACTGTCGTGCTTTCAAAATATCGATAAACAAAGAGAGGGACATCTCTTCACTGCCAAAATCTATGGGAGTTGAATACTAATCTACAGGGATAATTAGCTGAGACTATGCAATCTTTTTCAGTTATTTTTAAGTTCATCCATCTCTGTACCCACAAACACATTCAAGTATTTCCTTGCTGAATAAAGCCCTGGCACATCTTATTAAATGAAAAGAAACCATGCCATGCCTCTAAATTCCACAGTAAAGTGAAAACTGAGATGAAGTCTCAGTCTTGCTCGTAGAGCTACTGACGTGCTTCAGTTACTGCATTATTTCTCGGTCACTATATATCTGTAACATATTTCATTTAGGATCACTCGTGATTTGGGTGGAGTGAAAATGGAGGTGGAGGGGGTTGAATCAATAGATATTACTTGACCCACTAACTGAATGTGTGAAGCCACTCAGAAACCTTAGCATTTATGAGATACCCAAGAAAAAAAAAAACAAGCACAGAAATTAAGTCAGAGACAAGCTCTTTTCACTTTTACTATTGTTTACATGATTAGTGCTGTGACACTTTGTCTTTTACTGTCAGGAGGCTTTTGTGGCTTTACTCTCTCTAAATGCCCACAGCTACCACACAACCTGCGTAACCTGGTAGAAATGATTGGCTTTCTGACAGACCTAGAGTAAAAGAGAGCTTCTGGTCCTGCAAGGTGCTGGCTAAACCTAAAATAAGGAAGGAGTGAAGAGCCCTGCAGGTGTTACGTGGTTGTACACTGCAGGAAGAACAACAATGATGGGGAGTAAATAACGAGTTCCATGCCAGTCCTACCATTTACCTGACCTTGGGTTTGTTAATCTTCCCATATCGCCTCAAGAGGGTGCGATTTTGTAGAAATTTGAGCAGTTTTCATGAATTTCTCAGCAGTTTTCAATTTTACTTCAAAAAGAGGTAAATCCTCATTTGTAGGAAGTGTCTAGCACCGTGGATATCCACACCTTTTATATATAAAAAAAAAGGGAGACACATTCCTCTTGTGTTCTTCTAGCAGTGCTGAGGCCCTCCTAAAACGTGCTGGATGCCTTCAAACCCCAGTGAACACCTACACTTCTCAAGAGGACTTGCACTGGAAATGGAGATGGGAGGCTTATTGAATAGCGGTTCCATGCACTGCACTGATGATTGTCAGTGCCGACCCTCTGCCCCCCCCCGAAGAATCCACCCTTACAGAAGTGGAATGCCATGAGGATGTGCTGTTTAACGTTTAAAATTCAGTAACGAGGCACCATAGTTTCAAGCCGATAGAAGAAAATTCCTCTGATAATGGCTTGCTTGGGAGAGAACCATGGATGCACCTGAATTTATCAGATAGCGTCAAGATAACAGATTTCCCTTTTGCCACTGACTTCAGTCTTCCTGGACTCAATTCTAAACCAATGTTCACATCAAATTAGACAACCCATAAAGAGAAATGATATATATGGAGAGAACTGATTCCTTTCTGAAGTCCGTCGCTTTTAATTCATGCTGGTTTTTGCGCATTAGGCATAAGCAAAGCTGGTTTTTGGACAGTAGGACAAATATGTAAATACTTTGCATTTCTTAGCTGTGTAACAGCAGTACCCTACCTTTAAAGTTAGATGCATTCTTTCTGATTTAAGCTTACTGTTGTTTTTTCTTTTTAAACATCTATCAAAAATGGTATTTTTACTGAATATTGGGCATCACAATCCAACAGGAATTACTAACAGATCTTGAGTACAAATAAATATATAGCTTCAGAGAATAGTTCTACAGCTTTGGAGAAGAGTGGCACATTTTGAAATATGATGGAAGCTTTACAGCTGGAGCTTGGCAGCACTTTCAGTCTGTTAAAATCTCATAAGATCACTGAGATCAGGAATTGCAAAGATGTGCCAGATGATATATTAAATTTTAATCACATTTAAAAATAACAGTAAAAATTTTATTTAAATACACCAGAATTAAGTTTTCAAAGTCAGCTCCTCTGGGATAAAATTACAATATACTATTTCTTTATTATTGAATTTCATATTAAAACTTTCATGGCTCAGTGTCCCATGATTTTGCCTCTCTGCAATATAATATCTTAGTTTTGTACTGGAATGGATTAATTTGTACATTATTAAAGTGGGAAGTAACTTTGCCTGATGGGAAAAATCAGCATTGGAAAATGTATTAGAAACGTAGGCAGTACTTCTTCCAAGTTAGGGGAGAAAAGGTAAACGGTGAAGTTAAAGTAGACTTAATATTTTATTCTTACTATATAACGTTATACGCAGTCACCCTGTTCTTAACCTCACAGAGTGTACTTGCTGTGAGCAGTGTGACTGTGCAGATGCTGATTACATGTTTAGGTTGGTGAGCACCTTCAGTGTGGGGTTTGACACAAAATGAAGCACTTAGCTAATTAATCTGCACGTGTTTGGGAGTACAGTGTTCACACAAACAGTAAGAACCATGCCACGTAACAAAAGACCATTAAAGACATGGATGCAGCAGACCTTGGTCTTCTGTGAGGGTTTCAACAGAGTCCCATAAAAAAATCCCAAGTCTTGAAGCTGCTGCTTGAGGGAACGGGCAAGACGGCCTCGCTGTTGGCAGAGCCTGGCAGGGCCCTTGGTCACAGGCCGTGCTTTCAGACATGCACTTTGTATCCT